ATGCATCATTGCTTCATTAAAGCAAATGTATATGTTAGGGCACTTTTGACACAGGGATTTAGTTCTTTAATATCAGATTTTTATTACACTAAAGTCAATATGATACAGCCTAGACCTGCTAGGTCTCATTTTATATAAGCATTTTTTAAAAATCATTAGTGTGTAAATGTTTGTCTAACCTTGGTGATACCAGATACCCACTTAATATTTAGGACCCATGTAGAATACTCCATGGCAACCACCTCCATATTTTTAATTGTCCACCTCATCAGTTTAAAAAAAATCCACACACCTCAATTATGTTTATTTATAAGTATTATATACAAAGTACTATACTGGTAAATTATATACATTAAAGCATGTACAAAAACATAATTTTTTAAAGTATATCAAAAATAAATATAAGGTCTTATATTTTCTTTATATACCCAGTGGACCATTTTTACACATCTGTCATTTGGAAATCAAAGGATATAGGGATAGTAATAATGACAATCATTTAGCAAATTTCATGACACTCTGGCCTGTTGCTAGTGAGTTAGAAGAGTATTTAAAATGACTCTGGAGCTATGTAATGTAGAAAAGCATTTTCAGGAAAGTCTTTGGAATGACATCTTGAAGAAGTTATCAAAAGGTATTATCAAATCAGTATTCAGCATCTACAAATAAGGCACAGTATCCACCGACTGGGAACTTATAATCTAGTTGAAAGACCTTGTATTTAGATGGTGCATGAATGTTGTAGGTACATGTAAAGATCATTGATAATCCAAGAAAGATAAAGATAGTTGATAATCCAGGAAGAAATATACAAAGTATTGTATACATGTTATAGAGTAAAGAGAGATTTGTGGAAATGAACCATCTCTTGAAGCCTGAGAGAGCCTACAAGGGTTTCAGAGAGGAGCTACAGTTTTATCTGATTCTTATCATTTGAATAGACAGAAAACACAGGAGATATTTAGCAGACTAGGAGTGAATTCATTTTATTGCAACAGATTTTTTTATTTTTTTTTTAAACTAGTGGAAGAAAAGCTAGAGAAGTGGCTTGGTCCTTTTGAGGGGCACATTATTCATTACCCAGTCTAAACAATTTGGTCTTTTCCTGGTTTACATTGTGGAACTGCTGAGCAGAAGTGTGATGTGATCAAAATGGTAATTTTAAAAGATGACTCTTTGGCCATGTATATTTTGATGGAGAGAGAAATTGGAATTAGACCACTTGGCAGACTGTTAAATGATTTTTAGTAAAAGTTAACATTGGAACATTAACCATGTGCAAAGCACTATTCTAAGCACTTTTCCAGTATTAAACTCTGTGAAGTAAGTACTATTCTTACCCCATTTTACAGATGAAGAAACTGAAGCAAAGAGCAATCCTTTCCTGTCCTCCCCTCCCCCAAGATCACACAGCTAGTAACCCAGGATGGCTCTATCCTCTAGCTACTGCCATAGATAATTTCTGTCTAAGTTAGAATTCTGGATCTGGATAGAAATGAAGAGCAAGTACTGTAAAGGGAAAGAGAGAACTTATTTAACTAGATGTATAGGGCAAGAGGGAAGTGTCAAAGTTGTGCCAACTAATTCTGAAGTGCACGTAGCATACATCAAAATAGAGGTAGCAGAGGGGGATTTTAACCCTTTAATCCATCAATTTTACAAACACAAACTTACCCTAAGGATATAATCATAGATGTACTTACAGAAAAAGCTATGACTGTTGATTACAGTTCTGAGAGGGAAAAAAAAGAGGAAATAATTTTAAGGTTATTACCAAAATTTTAAATGGGTTTATTTCTGAGTGTTTGAATATTCAGTGAGGCTTTTTAAAAAGTTTATTTGTATTTTCTAGATTTTTCTTCAGTAAATATATATTACTTTTAAAATATTATTTCTAAAAAGAGAAATACAAGTTTGGGAAAAAGATGATTTGGGGACTTAGTAGTTCATTCATTTTTCCTTAGGTAGTTATTGCAGTGCCTACCTGAGCACAATGTGCCAAGCACAATCCTGGTTAGGTGCTTGAGATAGAAAAATGAAAAGTCAGCTGTCTTTCAGAAGCATTCAGTGTAGCAGGGAGAGATGTGCAAACAAATAACTTCAGTGTAATATGTCATAGAAAACATGTTCAAAGTATAGTCAGCGATTTGGGGAAAGAGCCATGTAGGTGTTTGTTTGAATCTCAGAAGACGTAACATTCCAGGTATTATGTAAGCCTTGAAATCTGCTATGACAGACACACTAGAAGAAGGCACTATAGTAGAGGAAGCAGCAGCCTGTGAGGCAGTGGTAGAATAGCCAGATGCAAACATAGAGGTCTGGTGAGAATCAGGAGGGATAGCTCTCTATTCAGGAGTCATCTGAGCAGTGGTGATACTTGAAACCTTCAAGTAGGTGAATGAGACCTCTAAAGCAGAATAATATGAAGAAAGCCTTTTTAAGGCATAAAGAAACCAAAACCAGTTGCCTCACGTCGGTTCTGACTTGTGACGACCACGGGTGTGTCAGAGTAGCATGGTGCACCGTGAGATTTTTCAGTCAGAGGAGCTCTGGTAGCATAGTGCCTAAGGCACTTGACTGCTAACCAGAGGGCTGGCAGTTCAAACCCACCAGCCGCTCCTCGGAAAGAAGATTGGGCAATCTACTTCCATGGTGATACTGCCTCGGAAACCCAAGGAGGGGTTGCTGTGAGTCGGGGCCGACTGCAAGGCACACAGCAACCACAATGGTCTATCGGAGGTAGATTACCAGGCTTTTCTTCCAAGATGCTTCTGGGTGGATTCAAACCACCAGCCTTTTGGTTAGTAGGCAACCTCCGAACTGTTTGCTCCATCCAAGAACTCTTTAAGCATGAAAGCAAAACTAAACCCACTGCCATTGAGTCAATTCCGACTCATAGTAGAGACCCTATAGGACAGAGTGGAACTACCCTGAAGGGTTTCCAAGGCTGTAATCTTTATGGAAACAGACTGCCACATCTTTCTGCTGCAGAGTGGCTCATGGGTTCAAACCACCAACCTTTTGGTTAGCAGCCCAATCCTTTAGCCACAGGGCCACCAGAGCTCCTTTTTGAAGCATAGGAGGAGAAAAAAGATGCCAATGAAAAGACCGAGAGAAGTAGTGTCAGAATATTACAATAGGGAAACCCAGGAAAGCAAACATGTGATATCAGCTGCTGTGGAAAAACATAACTACTTCGTGATGTATTTCTTTCCAGTCTTGGTTGTGTGTTTTTGTTGTTGGTATTATTGTTTTAAATTATTTCATAGTTTATAAAGCTATTTGTCCTGCCTTTACAATGGTGAATGAACTATGTCTTAATACTTTCTTTAAAAAAAAAAAAAAAAAAACTTTTGGACATTTGGGTTTTCCCACTCTACTCTTAAGGAGGCAGATCATTTATCATTTTATAAAAGATTCAGGAGAATTGTTTATGAGACAATTAATGCAGCAATTTTTAAATACTCTTTCAGAAAGTTATCATTGAGCTTACTGAACTGAAACAAAAAATAAATTATTCATCCTTTATTCTGGATGCCTAGATCAGTGACTGATTTTGAATAAATGAAGAGAGGAAGGAATTAAATTAAGAAATAAAGGTAGGTATAAATAAAAAGCTGTGGTGGGGTAGTGCCTAAGGCATTTGACTACTAACCAGAAGGTTGGCTGCTCAAACCCACCAACCACTCCACAGAAAGAAGACGGGGCAATCTACTTCTATAAAGGTTTACAGCCTCAGAAACCCAGTGAGGGTTCTCTATGAGTTGAAATCCACTTTGGCAGTGAGTTTGGGGTTTTTTTTTTTTGTTGTTGTTGTTTGTTTTGTTTTGGATTATATCAGGATCAGTGCAATTTTTTTTTTTCTTTTTTTTTTAATGATCATGAAGACTTACTCATATTTATTTGGATATAAGATACAAATTGTAGCTTGTTTAGCCTTGGAAGATAGGAGGAATGCCTTTCTCTCTTGAGGCTGAGGCAAGAAGGCATGGGTTTAGTACAGATATTTTAAAGATATAAACCAACAACGAACCCCAGACCTGAAAGTCACTGCAGTAGTAGTTGTTGTTGTTGTTATGTGCCGTCGAGTCAGACCCGACTCATAGCGACCCCTTCTTGGGTTTCCGAGGCAGTATCACTACAGAAGTAAATTGCCCCATCTTCCTTCCGAGGAGTGGCTGGTGGGTTTGAACCACCAGCCTCTGGTTAGCAGTCAAGTGCCTTAGCCACTACGCTACCAGAGCTCCCTCTCCACTGCAGTAGTAGATGAGTAGTATTCACAGATGAGTTATCTGCTGAGAGTGGAAAGAAAGAGGAAGTATAATTATAGGCTTAAGGAAATGAAAACATTTTTAAATGTTCCTTGTGACATTTAGGAGGATGGCAGTAAATAAAAGGATTGTTGAACAGTAGTGAGGACCCAGGTGAAGGCAGACAGAGTGGTTAGAGAGCAGTACTCCATAGGTTAGGAGTGGGTCACGGGCTCACTCCTGTTTCAGAGATAGTAATTTAAATTGTAAAAATTGGGTGGGAGACTACTTTTTTCACAGAAGAAGCTTAAGTTTTTATAAACTCCTAGAGCTTCAGAACTGGTTATCGTTGAGTTAGTTACGACCCTTAGTGACCCTGTAGAAGCCCCAGTGGTGCAGTGCTCAGCTGCAAATGGAAAGGCTGACTGTTCAAATGGTCCCATCAGCCACTACGCAGAAGAAAGACATGACCATCTGCCTCCGCAGAGATTACAGCCTAGAAAACCCTATGGGACAATTCTACTCTGTCCTGTAGGGTCACTACAAGTCAGTATCAACAGCACTGTAGGGTCACTATGAGTCAGTATCAACAGCACAGGGTTTTTTTGTTGTTGTTCTTTTTGTTTGTTTGTTTAGAGCCTCAGAGCTGGGAAGGGAGATGTTTAAGTTCAATTCTTAGAAGTATTGTTTTATAACCCACAAAACCTATTAGCCTAATACTTGCATTTTTAACAGTAAGAGGTAACTCACCTTCATTGATGAAAGTTACTGGTGGTATCTTGAGAGGGCTTTTGGTGGGAGAAGTTGCCAGATCAGGTGGTGGCACTAAATCTCTGGGATAACCTGGATCCCTCTGTATCTCATTACCTCCCAGCAGACCAGGCGTGTAGTGATGGCTGTTAGGAATATGTTGGGGCACCACCTGGACAAGAGGAGGAGATACATGGGTGTCTTGTCGGGAAAATATCCTCAAGCACTGTTCCTCCAACAAAGTGATCATCACAGACTGGTTATTGACAAGATCAGTCAAGGAAGCATATTTCACCTCTAGTTCCCTGTACCTTGTTGCCATCTTCAACATTTCTGTGGTGATGTTGAGGATTTTATTTTCCAACTGGGAGAGTTCAAGTGAATTATCCCTCTTACGGATAATCTCATGTAAGAGTTGCATGTAGAGTTGAGTAACACGAGAGTTCATGTTGCGGCTCTCTTTTCTCAGCAGCTTTACCTCATTCACAATGTTTCCATCTACATCCACTACCAGTTGCAGGACATCTATCTCCCGCTTCTGCCTGGAGAGCACGTCCTTCAGGTTTTCAAGGTCCATCTTGGTGACCATGTCTTTAATGGTACCTGCATCTTGCCCTTTGGTGTTGACACAAATTGGCCCTGTTATTTTTTGTTCAGGAACCAGGAATGTGTATGAACATTTCTTTGCTTCTTCTTTACCGTCTGCAGCACGAGGGTATCTCTTGTGAGTTATTTTTTTTATTTTGAACTGTCCTCCTCTGCAGTGTCCACTGCTTGTTACTATGAAGAAGAGCACACCTAGGATCCAGATAAAAGCCTTCATTTTGAAATGAGGTTGTATAACGACGTCTTTAGAAAAACAAATCAATGAAGGGAAAAAGTACAAAGAATTAATATGAATCTATTTTTAAAGTTAATAATAAAAGAATATATATCTAAAGTAAAAGTTTTAATATTGAGTTAGTAAACTGTGCCAGAATTAACTTTTTTAGGGATTAGGTTTCAGAGGATAGCTCTTTTAACTGCCACCTTGTTGTAATGTTTTTTTGTTCATTAAGCAGATTTTGATGAGTGCCTACTGTGTGTATAAAAGCACACTTGCTAGGTGCTGTTGGGGCTTTTGAGACCTAATAAAACATTATCTTAACACTATGAAAATAGTTTACAATGTTTCCAAGGCATTCATTAATACATTCTTGCCTAACTAGTATTAAAATTGCCAGGGGCCTAGTCAAATTTTTATGTTTGTACTATGCAGTTTCAATTAAATTGGTCTTCTGTGATAAATACCATGTCTTTGTTACCTACAAAAGAAATGTTTTAGACAAATCTAAAACCAGAAAGTTTTAGCATCATGTGATTTTTATTTTTTTCCTGATGGTATCTTCTTTTGGGATTGGCGACACATTTAAGAATGATAGAATTCTTATAGTCATTATTGGGGGTAAAACTGTGTTTCCTGGACTATAATCATATATATGCTCTAAGTTTATATATGATTCAATAGGTTCATACTAACTGAGGTGTTGCTGAATTGTATTTTAGTAAATGTTAATAATTTTCCACAACTGTTACCAAGGGAAGAAACTATCTAAGATTGAATCTGAATGTCAGAGTTTGAAAATGATATTTCGTTCAAGAACTTTGTACCAGTGAGCGTGTTGAAGGCCAAGGCCACACAACTAGGTAATCTCAGAGCCAGATCTAGAACTCAGGTTTCCTGACTCCTTGGTCAGTTTATAGCAGTGGCACATTCTTAGATATGCTAAAATGTGTGTTTAGAATGTTTCATTCTTGCTGTGACAGATGAGAAATGCTTGTCCTTTATACCACACAAACACACACAAAAAAAACTCACTGCCAAGTGGATTCGGACTCATAGCGACCCCTCCTTGGGTTTCCAAGGCAGTATCTCTAAGGGAGTAGGTTGCCTGATCTTCCTTCCAAGGAGTGGCTGGTGAGATTGAACCGCCAGCCTTCTGGTTAGCAGTTAAATGCCTTAGGTACTATGCTGCCAGATTCTGAACACTAAAACTAATTCCAAGAACCAGAGCTTCCTCCTTTCTCTTTACCTTCCAGAAGTGTGGTAGCAGTATAGTGAGTGGCTGTGTTCACTCCATCAGGTTCATTAACAAGCTGCTGTGGTATAGCTTACCTTCCAAAACCAAAAACCAAACTCACTGCCGTCGAGTCGGATCTGACTCATAGTGACCCCTCCTTGGGTTTCCAAGGTGCTATCTCTACAGAAGTAGATTGGTGAACTTTCCTTCCGAGGAGTAGCTGGTGGGTTTGAACCTCCAGTCTTCTGGTTAACAGTCAGATGCCTTAGGCACTATGCCACCAGCAGTCCCCCTTCACTCTCTTACCTTCACACTCTTAAAATCTTGATTCCTATCTGCTACTTTTGTAGGATGGCGCTATAGACCATAAGAGCTTTCCTGTCTAGTTTTCCACCCAACTTACTGTTTCTTGATTTGATAAGCCAATCCCAGGTTATTCATACCTACTATCAATAACAGTTAATTGGATATTAATAATTAGTTATTGGATATTTGTTAAGTACTAAGTACTGTTTTAAGTCCTTTACTGTATTAAATCTTTTACTTAATACTATCATTCTATGGGGAGCTCTGGTGGTGTAGTGCATAAGGCATTTGACTGCTAACCAGAAAGCTGTCGGTTCAAACCCACCAGCCACTCCTCAGAAGGAAGGTTGGGCAATCTACTTCCATAATGATGCTGCCTCGGAAACCCAAGGAGGGGTTGCTATGAGTTGGGTCCTACTCAACGGCACATAACACCACTACCATCCTATGAGGTGGATTACCTATTACGATTGTCATTTTCAGATGAAGAAACTGGCATCCAAAGTTAAATATTTTACTCAGTCACACAGCTTCTAAGAGTTGGAGCCAGAATTTGACCCCAGGCAGCAGACTCCAGAGTGCATGTTCTTAATTAACCACTGTAGCTCTGGTAGCGTAGTGCCTAAGGCATTTGACTGCTAACCAGAAGGTTGGCAATTCTAACCCACTAGGCTGCTACTCTTCAGAAGGAAGGTTGGGCAATCTCCTTCCATAGAGGTGCTGCCTCAGAAACCCAAGGAGGGATTGCTGTGAGTCAGATCCCGACTCAATGGCAGTGAGTTTGGTTTTTGTTGTTGTTGTTTTATATTATACTGTACCAGTTTCCTATCACCTACTGTGATAATCCCTTATATTTAATTGCATTCACAACAACACTGTGAAGTAATTGCTGTACCTTTTTGTAAATGAGTAACATTCTGGAGAAGCTAAAATACTCAAATGGGACTCAAATCCTCTACTCATAACTTTTCTAGGCCTGTAATTTTTGTTTAGCCTAATCATGAGGAGTCTTAAATTTGTATTTTTTGTTTTTTCATTTCCTTTTGCTGGTTTATATCTTCTCACATTGACCTATTACTTAATTATGCAAAAATATTTGTAGATCATTTTTGTCAGAATTTGTCTCCATAGTTTTTTACATCTAAGGCTGTTCTTGCTGTCATTCCTTCCCCTTCATATATATCTATCAGTTGATACTTACTTGTCTGATTTATGATTTAGAGTCCCTGGGTGGTACCAATGGTTAACACAGTCAGCTGCTAACCGAAAGGTTGGGGATTCGAGTTCACCCCAAGGCACCTCAGAAGAAAGGGCTAATGATCGATCTACTTCCAAAAATTCAGACCCTCCCCAAAATAAAGTCTGTGTCAATGAAATATGGAGTCTTCATGCTGCTGTCATGAAGACTAGTGCTACTTTTTGAAACCATAAGTCCTTATTTTTGGTGTTTTCAAAGAAGTACAATAGTGTTTTCAAGTTGGATAAAAAATGAAAATAAAGAATGGATGGAATGTTGAGAATTATTTTTCTTTTACTAATTTAATCAAGAGAGGGATGAGCATGATAATATTCTTCTTAGATGAGTGCTGGTAGTTTTTTGTTTTGCACTTTGCCTTCTGGCAGTGGTAGAAAATCTAGACCTTAAGAATCATCTTTTTTTTTCTCCCTTGTTCTTAAGTATTTTTAATATATAAGAGTTACCTATATTGAAAATTGTTTTTTGTTTTTTGTTTTTTTTATTTTCTTTATGGGTTCATGGAATTTGGATATGGTAAAATAAAATATGAGCCTAAGCTTTCAGGGTAAATATACAGCATTTCTCCTCCATAGCTAACTTACCTAGTACTGAAATGCAGTCATTTCACTCTAATAATAGAATGGGACCTTGTAGAGCATAAAGTTATTTAAGTAATATACTATAAAATAAGCTAGATATATACTAATCTAAATTAAGATAACACTAGTTGCCTTTTGTGTAGTCTGCCTTGGCTCCTATGGTTCCCTATAGTTCCTGTAATACAAAATGATAAAGCACTTACTGCCATAAGAGAATGTCTGGTCTAAGTTAACATTTAAAGGAGTAAACTGAAAGTTTATTTTTAAAAAAATTAATATATTTCCCACATCCTTACAAAAGTAATGACTTCTTCGTTGTACCCTAATGCAAAGCAAGGAGCCACATTTTTTTAAGTAATAGACTAGTTACGTCATTTACTTTTCATAGAAAAAACATGGAGGTCTTAAATCTTTAATTCAGATATCGACTAAAGAATTGGTATAAAAAGCTACATTTACTGTTTCATTTTCTAAAAACATTCCTTTAATCTTTTCCCACATATTTTTAGTTTTAAAAGGGAAAGATCCATAAATCTGTATTACCTCATAAAACCTTTCTGTATATGTTAAAATTTTCCTAGGTCCCTAGAGAATGTTATAAGTTAGTTACAGTATACTTAAGTTTAAATCTACATCTTTGCTTAGTTGTTTTTAGGAAGAGGGGGGAATGTTTTCCATGCATCGGGTTAATTTTATTGGTACTGTTTTTCTTCATAGTTGCTATATTACCAGCTAGTAGAGAGAACAAATAAAAGTTAGGATTTACTTCATAGACAGGCATTTACTGGCTGTGACATGCACTGAAAACAGCATGAGGCAGTGAACTTAAATGTATGAGGCATCGAGGATACATTAGATAAAGGACTTCTAGATTGTGAAATATATATGTTCTGGAAAAAAAATTAAGAACAGTCTAATCCCCTGAAGATATTTTTTTAAAGGGAAAAGTAGTTATGGGTGTTATTTGGTCAGATTAAATAATTGCCTCAGGGCTTCAGTAAGAATAGAAGCTTTAATGAGGTCCTCTACTTTTCTTAGCAAGCAACAATGACAGACGGGATGACAGATATTTCAGGCCCAGTATGGCTTAGGAATGTTACCAGAATTTTTTTGTAAAACATGTGGATAACAAAGATCCTTGTCACTGGAGGAAGTTTTGGATCTTTGAGTAAAGGATATGAAAACAAAGTAAAAAAATCTTAGCTTCACCATTATTTATTTGTTAAAGATTCTTATCATTGATGTCTTTAATTTTTAAAAGGCCAAAGGAACCTCAAAACATAATAAAGTGTCTGTGGCATGAAAACTTACTATTGGCAACTAATAATTTTATTTTTAATAATTCTCATAATAATGTTAAAGCCATCAGATGGAATATTGAAGGAAACCTCTTGTGTATAGTTATCAAAAATATTTGTATCTACAATTAATATATATTCTTGGTTTTTAATCATGTTCTTAAGTAATATTTTCTTGATTCTTCTTTTCTATTATTAATGTTAACAACTTCCATTATGCTTTTATCACATTTTGTATTTTCTACTCATTCCTAATGTATAAGAAGTTTTGGGGTTTTTCAGGTATCGGTTATTTTTGCTTTTCCAAATTTCAGCTGTATAGC